TCTATAGGGAAAACAGAGAATGGAGTTCATCCTCTGAACACATCTGATGAAACCAAACCGCAAACAAAAGGATCCGAGGAGCAAAGAGATGGAAAACATGCGACTGCAGAGCTGGGGCTCTCAGAAATCAGGGGAGAGATACATTCAGACGGATCAGATGTTGCTTCAGTGGCAGTTGATCATCATTTTCTTCAGACAGAGACATCGGTTACAGAAGGTCTGATTTTGGTTTTCTCCATTGTTTTCGGAGTTTTTGAAAGTGTATTTTGATCGCTCAAGTCTTATGTGTCAGGTGAACCAATGGATCAATCGAGGGTGGTCGATAAGGGCGAGATTCCCGAGCCCGAAACTGAAAAGGTTGGGAACGAATCGGTCGGGACAGAATCTGGTGGAGACAAGAATCCAGATGAGAAGTCAGTCCAAGAAGAAACTGAACCTGACAAAGAAAATTCTCTGGAGAGAGTGAAGATTGAAGCTAAAGACAGTGACAGAGACAGAGAAGTAGATGAAACATCAAAGGAAACACAAAAGTCAAGTAGTGATGGAGATCTGTCTGAGAATAATGCAGAACAAGAGATTCTGAATCTGGAGAATGATGTTGATGATGATGATGATGTTCCTCCCGTTGAACCCATTCTGCAAGAGATCGATCCATTTGAGAAGAGTGGCATCGAAGTTCAGATGATCGAAAGATGCATGGAAGGACGTGAAACCGATCTTAGACGAATGTCCCGTTCCCGATCTCTCCCTGTGAGAAGGAACACGGCTAGGGTTCTGACAGATCCACTGGTTCAACCCATTGAACGTTTTCTTTCTGAGGTTTCTTGCCATTCAAGCAACAAAAACAAGTGTTTGAAGGAAGAGGTTGCAGAGGATGTGGAAAACATTCCTGTTTCTTGTGTCGCAAGAAACGATGAGCAAGAAGTTGCAGAAACTGAGACTGACAACATCGGAGAATCCGAACCAGAGATGCGATCTCCTAGCTTCGGTTCTGACCTAAAAATCGAAGCAAGAGCAGAGGATTCATCGGACAGAACTCCATTGTTGTACGAAGATAAGGCTGAAATGTACGAAACAACGGTCATGGTGGAAGAGAAAACGATTACGATGAAAAGAAGCGAATCCGAGAGATCGAGAAAGGAGGTTTTTGCAGCGTTGTTGAAGAAAGAGGACGAGAAAAATGAAGCGGACGATCATTACGAAGAACCCGGGGGCTCGGGAGATAACTTGCGTGACAAGAAACCCTCGTCGGACTCTCCGAAAGGCGGAGAAAGACGCCGGAGCAAAGCTTCACTCTTCGGCACTTGCCTCTGCTGTGCCACCGTGATGAAGTAAAACACATTTGACAAAATTTTATTTTTATTTTTATTTTTATTTTTATTTTATTTTTTTCGAAAGGAAAAGATTGATTGTTATATTTTCTGATTTTGATATGTGAGGAAAATGAGGGGAATTCAATTTATATAAAAGGTGTGGATTTTGGGTTTTCTGTATATCAGAATGTATAAGCTTTTGTGCCTGAGACATTTTGTAAAAGTGTGGAGATATTGATTTTTTTACTGGTTTTTATTTATATAGTGAGAGAAAGAGTAAAATAAAAAATTTTGAACTACTGAAATGGTAGAAAATGAATTCTAAACTTTTAGGTTGATAATTTATTTTTAAACTTATAAACTGTGTTATTACAATTCCCAAAATAATTTATATATCAAAATAATCGAAATTTTTTCTTATACAAATTAATGAAAATTATAATAACATATTTTATAAAAAAATAAATTTATTAAATTAAAAGTTTAGAAATTAGACATTGAATGGTAATTGTTTTTATTTTGAGTTTTTGTTTTTCGTTTTTTTGTTTTTGGATTTTAGTTTTTGGTTTTTGTAAATCCAAAAAAGAATTTTTTTTTTAGTTTTTAGTTGATTTTGTGGTGAAAGTGACTTTCCAGATTTTTTAGAAAACTATTTTTATAAAAACTTAATTGTTATTTTTTGTTTTAGGATTTTAAAAATCCAAAAGTCACTTCCAATTCAAGGACTTAGTTATTCGCTGAGAATTTTTTATAGATTTTATATATAAAAAAATATTACCAATTTGTTACTTTAAGACAAACTCAGAAATGGGCCAATTGAGGCTCATTATGCAAATGGGCTATTATTGAATAATTTTCATTGGGCCGTGTTAAAGCCGCATAGATGGTTGACACGTGTCATTCATTTGAGGCAGGAAGGAGGCATCATTAAGGTTGGAAGGAAAAAAACAAATAACAGGTCAAACATTAGACAAGAAAAAGTGGTTGCGAAAACTGCACCGCCACGCGCACAATGTTGCGCGTGTATCACACGGTCTCGTGGATGCTCGCACGTTGTTTGTTCTCGTCATCACTGACATGGCACCTATCTATTGGTTTTAAGAATAGTTTGCCCATTCTATTAGAAAATAATTTTCATGTAAAAAATATATATAGAAAAACTATGGCTAATTACTAGAATATAATACATGGGATTTAAATAAAATAAAATAAATGATGGTAGTAACTTAATTTAAACATTTTTCTCAACCATGGCAAGATATAAGTTCCGCTGCATTTATTTGACCGTAAAAATACATTTTTATACAAAAATAAATGAAAATTACAACTCTGCCACTGGGCTAAAAGCAGGCCCACGTTTGGAATTCAACGCAACTTTTCGCAAGAGACAAAAACGAAAACGAAAACGAAATTGTAAAAACGAGGAGGGCGTATTGGCTTTCGATTTTCCATACAAATGTAAATACAAAACTGAAAAAGGAATGGGAAAGTGCCCCCTTTTTTTCAAAAATTGCAACTTTTCTTCGGCCCTTTCAATCATCAGAAAGCTTCTCCCTTTGGAATTATCCAACTAAAAATCTGAAAACTTTTTCGAGAAATTTTGATGAACCCTACAATTCTCTCTTGCTACTGTAATCACCAACCAGAAACACAAAAAAGATCCGTGTGTTTATAGACGAACATGGTGTCTGGTTCAGACCAGTTCGATGGTGTCCTGTGGCTGTGAACATTTCTGAATTCTTCAGTCTAATGGTGTTCTTTTCGTCTTGAGTGAAAATCTTAAAAAAGTTTTTTTTCTTCTGTCTCAAGAAAAGGGTTCTCGTTTTTTTTCCTTTTCTGGTGTGAATCGGATCGGTGGTCGATAAGTGATGCAACCGAGTAGCTCCGAGTCGTCGGTTCAGCTTTCAGGGCGAGTCGCTGACTCGAGAGGCAAGCATCGGATGCAAGCTGAACTCAAACGGCTCGAACAAGAAGCTAGGTTCTTAGAGGTAATCTCCGATCTTTTTTTCCTTAGTGATTGATTTAGCTTTGCCGATAATCTGGATTGGGTTCTGTTGTTTCATCACCTTGTAGATGAAGCCCTCAATTATAGTGTTGGATCAGCCTTGTATATTTTGTCTCTTGCCGTTACTTCTGGTTTTGGAGGGAACAGTGTATAGGAAATATGATTTGATCTTGTACGTATAGGAGTGTCAAAGTCTGAAACTTTCCAGAAGAAAGAATCATGGGTTTGATTTGATTTACGTTTTCGGATTGATTCTCTGAGTAGGCGACGAAAAATCACAGATTTGTTGAACTTGTGGCCGTGAGTTTGGATTCAAAGTGTTCATATGATTCTTCCCTGTCTGTAAAATTCTTTCTCAAGTGTACGGTTATGGACAGGAAGAGCTGGAGCAGCTGGAGAAGATGAAGAAAGCATCAGCTTCATGCCAAGAGTAAGCCCCTTTCACAAAAACCATAACCAGACTCTCTTCTCACCCATCAAATTGAACAATCCTTTGCTTCTTCATGGATGGCAAATGCAGGTTCTCCGACAGTGTGGATAACAAACCCGACCCTCTTCTTCCCGAGTAATTCAGATCTCATTCTCTAATCTCTATTCAGTTTTCTCATTCTCTCATATCTCAAATGTCCAACACACACACACACACTATCAGAAAGATTCTTCTGATTAGCAGTTTGTCAACTACTTGCAGAACTGCAGGTCCGGTTAATCCCGTGTGGGATCGGTGGTTTGAAGGGCCTCGAGAACCGAAACGATGTGGATGCCCCATTCTTTGATGATGATATCTCCCTTGATCATTGTTGTTCCCTGAAGAGTTTGCATTTTGTTTTCACATCGTTTCCACAGCAATTTTCCAGTTTCACCAGTCAGTGATTCATTGTGCAGATAAAAGTCTACAGATATTTACAGCTCCGTTGTATCTCCTCCATAACCAGAGATCATTGGCATTCGCTTACTGAATCCATGTGTCTGGGAATTTACATACAGGAACCAATGATAGTAGAGGCCAACATCAGAAGATAAAATATGGTCTTCCCTTATCTATTTTCTTCCCGGATTGGGTATTGTAAGAAATGAAAACCATTCAATTCATTCCGAACAACCAAAAAGGTTGGAACTAATACAGAAAAAGAGGAAATGGACTGTTGAAAGACATAAAAAAAGACAACCTTGGTATCTCTGATCAAGTTTCTCAACTTGTCTCTAACCGGGAGCTTTACCGGTAACTTTCTGAGCGATCCAACCGAGCCCATCATACAATCCTTCTCCAGTGACAGCACAGCTTGCTTGGATGTGCCAGTCATGGTTCTTGATGCTGTGGAGGTTAAGGGCATCTGTAATCTCGGCCGGTGTCATCGCCTCTTTCAAATCCTGCTTGTTTGCAAACACGAGTATGACCGAGCTCTGAAGATCATCGTGCCCGAGTAACCTGAAGAGCTCGTCCTTCATGATGGAAATCCTGCCTCTGTCCGTGCTATCAATCACCACAATCACAGCATGTGTTCCTCGGTAGTATGTTGCCCATGATGTTCTGAGCCTGTCTTGTCCACCCAGATCCCAAACCTGAAAAAACAAACATAAAAATCACAGTGTTTGTTAGCCATGTAAATCGGAAGAAGAACAGCGAAGCTTGTTCTTCCAATGAACGACTAAATCAGATCTAGGGCAATGGATTCTACACGAGGAACATGTTTCTGGCAAAGGATTCACCAGACTAAATAGAAGTACCGAATGTTCCCAAGGATTGCACAGAATCCAAATGTACACCTTGTATTGAAGTAGATGGCTCTTATCATAAACCGTACAAGATGATATTACTTGGTAAATTTCCTTGCCGAGGGCTCAGACAGGGAGATACAACAACTATTGAATCACGGGACATTCTTGAGCAAGAGTCCACTAAAGGCTATTCAGAAAACTACGGCATTTACTTCAAGCCTGAGCTATCCTTCAAACAGAACCATTCACAAAACTATCTAATGGAAGGATTCCAAAATAACTCAACTTCTGCAATAACATGACATTTTTGTATCTAAGCACAGTAAGAACTTGCGAGAATGCATGCATGCTTTCAAAGCTACCAAGGAGAAAAATGGATGCTTCGACCTAAAGGGTTCACAAAAACGGCAAATCGTGCTCAATCGGGTGTTGAACAAGAACATAAACATAACTTTTATGACATATAGACTAATGAACAAGGATGTGCCTATAAAGATTATAACTTCCACTCCACGACATATAAACTAAAACCCAGAGACCCAACTCCATGATTCAAGAGACGGATTCGGTTTCGAGAAAGTCTCAGTACCTCGAACCGAATATTCTTGTAGACAAGCTCCTCGACATTGCTCCCAACGGTTGGATGCGTAGTGACAACTTCACCCAAGTGAAGCTTATAAAGGGTTGTCGTTTTACCGGCATTATCCAAGCCGACAACCACTATTTTATACTCTTTCGCTGGGAACAGCATGAACCAGAATCTCGATACGAATGCTCCCATTTCGCTATTTGTAACCGAAACCTAATCAGAAAGAGAGAGAGTTTAAAAAATTCAATCTTTCTCGGTGACATCTAAAAGGGGTTTACGGGCAAAAGCTGCAGAGAGATCGAAATCGATTCTTCGACCAAACCCTAAGCTATAGCCCGATCCGACCAATCAATATATACCCCAAAACTAGAACTCTGCTAGAACATGAACCCGATTCGATCTAACCGTGGCAAAAACATCGATGTCAAGAGAAACCCGGATCAGATTCGGATCAAAACGAGTCAAGAATCTCCCTAGATTACCGAACTACGGAAGAATCAGAACGAGATATAAACTGGAAACCTGTGATCGAACCTGGATTCAGCAACAAAAGAAGCGGAAGCAACGGCGAGGAAAAGATCCAGAAGCTCAAGAATGGAGAACAAACGGGAGAAAAAGAGTTCAACTTTGGGTTCTTCCTCGTTAAGTTTTGCAGTCTGGGGGTAGCGTATAGCGATCTGGGCCTCCTCGAGACAAAAGGACAACAAATGCGGGAAGAATGGTAAAATAGTAATTTAGCTTAAAAAAAGGAATAATATTATACAGACAAAATAGAAATTGAAAGTTTTGCAATACTACAGTATTATTTTATTAGGAAATTTTAATCATGAAAATTAAGTGAGTTTAAAAATCTTATTATAAAAGAGACAAAAAAAAAAAACAAGGAGTGCAAAAGAGTGACAGGAAGAACATTAACCTGTGATCAGAACATAAACGAATTAGTGTTGTCTTTGTTTTTCTTGTGATTTATCTTCTGAAGTGTTTTCACTTCACCTCAGATAAAATTCTTAACCAATGAAATGTTGACACGTGGATAAGAAAATCTACACCTTCACCTACCTGAACATACCTCCATCTCCCCAAACAAAACTCTGCAGAAAAATACAAATGAAAATCACATTGTCGTCTCAAACGCTTCATCGTTATATCCGCCATCTCTAAAACCTCCTCTCTCTCTCTCTCTCGCTAGCCAACTTCTCGGATTCCCGGTGTACCGGAAACTAGCTCTCCGGTCAACCACCATGTCTCAGTCTCTCCAGTTCTGCTCTCACTCACGCGCTCTTCGCCTTGCCCATCTCCCTCAACCACGAACCCGACACTGCCTCCCCTCCTTCCGCCGATTTCCCGCCACCGCCCCCAGATACCCCACCATCAGAGCCTCCTCGTCTCCGACTCCATCTCCGGATCTCGAGTCCTCCTCGTCTCAGGTGCTTCTCTCTGATAACGGAAAAGGGTCGGTGACGACGGAGGGGAAATCGTCGGCGGTGGCTGTTCCGGCAGTGGAGACGGCGGGGATTGATGTCGATGCGGTGACGGAGGCGGAGCTTAAGGAGAATGGGTTCAGGAGCACGAGGAGGACGAAGCTGATCTGCACGATCGGACCGGCGACGTGTGGGTTCGAGCAGCTGGAGGCGCTCGCCGTCGGCGGCATGAACGTGGCGCGAATCAACATGTGCCACGGCACGCGCGACTGGCACCGCAATGTCATCCGCAGTGTTCGGAGGCTCAACGAAGAGAAAGGGTTCGCGGTCGCGATCATGATGGACACTGAGGGCAGCGAGATTCACATGGGCGATCTCGGTGGTGAAGCTTCGGCTAAAGCAGAGGTTCGTCTTCTCCATTTCACTCTGTGACCTTAGAATTTGGCCTTTGGTCCGAGCTTGAGTTTGTATGGTGTGGTTCAGGATGGTGAGATTTGGACATTTACTGTAAGGGCATTTGATTCTTCTCGACCGGAACGCACCATCAGTGTGAACTATGATGGTTTCGCAGAAGGTATCTATCTATCTATGGTGGTTTATGTTTCTGAATGTCGGAGATGATGATTTGTCTTCATGAATATTTGGGGATTAGAGCTAGTTCTCCGACAATGTAGATTAACTTATGCAGATCCGAGATTGCAGAAAGTAGTTACGATGTTTAAGAGTGAGAATCTTTGTTGTAGTTTACCATTTACAGTATTGGAATGTCAGAAACTACCATAAACGGCAACCAATGAGTTGTTTCTGGAAATTTCTTTTGGGTTTTAAGGATTCTGGATCATCAAATCATGTGTGTTTTAGTAGGAAATGGGAACTGGGGACATTGAGGAGACTATGTGTGAACCATTTTGCAGATGTAAAAGTGGGGGATGAGCTTCTGGTGGATGGTGGGATGGTTAGATTTGAAGTGATAGAGAAGTTCGGTCCTGATGTCAAGTGCCTTTGCACTGATCCCGGGCTGTTGCTTCCTCGAGCTAACTTGACTTTTTGGAGGGACGGGAGTCTTGTCCGAGAGCGTAATGCCATGCTTCCAACCATATCTTCCAAGGTCTGGTCCCAGCCAACTTGTCTTGACACCTTATATATTCTGCCAATGGTACTGAACTTAATCCGATTTTCAGGACTGGTTGGACATTGATTTTGGAATCACAGAAGGAGTGGATTTCATCGCAGTATCTTTCGTCAAGTCTGCTGAAGTAATTAACCATCTGAAAAGCTACCTTGCTGCCCGTTCCCGTGGAGGGTATTATAACTTCATATATATCTCTCTGGAGCCGCTACTGACTGTTTTCCCTTCTTCGTTTACGTTTTGAACTTATCGGTACTCCCTTTCTGATGGCAGGGAGATTGCGGTTATTGCAAAGATTGAGAGCATTGATTCACTGACAAATTTGGAAGAGATCATACAAGCATCAGATGGAGCCATGGTTGCAAGGGGGGACCTTGGAGCTCAGATACCACTGGAACAGGTTCCATCGGCTCAGCAGAGAATCGTTCGGTTCTGTAGAGCGCTTAACAAGCCGGTCATCGTTGCGTCACAGTTACTCGAATCTATGATCGAGTACCCGACTCCTACCCGGGCAGAAGTGGCAGATGTGTCTGAAGCTGTGAGGCAGAGATCCGACGCGTTGATGCTTTCAGGCGAATCAGCTATGGGGCAATACCCAGATAAGGCACTTGCTGTTCTTAGAAGTGTCAGTTTGAGGATCGAAAAATGGTGGAGGGAAGAGAAACGGCATGAAGCCATGGAACTTCAGGCCTTAGGCTCTACCTTTTCAGACAAAATCTCTGAAGAGATCTGCAGCTCCGCTGCCAAAATGGGTTCGTAACTTGCATAACTTCCTCGTGTTTGATGATGTTTTTTTTCCGACATCCATTCTCATGTTTTTCGTATTCGAAAATCCGCAGCGAACAACCTGGGAGTGGATGCACTCTTCGTTTACACGAAGACCGGACATATGGCGTCGCTCCTGTCCAGATGCCGACCAGACTGCCCGATCTTCGCCTTCACGACCACCACTTCCGTTCGGAGACGCCTAAACCTACAATGGGGACTCATCCCTTTCCGTCTAAGCTTCTCGGACGACATGGAGAACAACCTTAACAAGACCTTCGCCTTGCTCAAAGCTCGAGGGATGATCAAATCCGGTGATCTCGTCATCGCTGTCTCAGACATGTTGCAATCCATCCAGGTTATGAACGTTCCCTGATCGGAATCGAATCCCGCAATCTCTTGGCCGATCATCGAGCTATCAAATGGAAAAAACAGATAACGATTTCCGTACGACGGTAGTTGGTCGCGCCGCCATGAATGTAAGCTTAGTGTGATGATGTTTTGTTTTTTCTTCGTTTGTTTGCATTCGGATTATGTCTTCTTGGGCTTTCTATGGATTGGGCCCTCAATGGGCAATGGGTCTTTAATGAGATACGAGCCTTTTATGTTTTATGGGCCTTTAATGGGCTATGGGCTTCTAAGGGTATAATGGATTGGGTTTCTGACATGGATTATGAGGTAAGGGTATCTTTGGAATTTCGGAGATGAAGTCAAAAAGCTAAACTATGCAATGGTGCGCAGTAGGGCTGGACACAAATACCCGAAAATCGGGTATCCGTCGGATACTCGTCTCACGGATACCCGATTTTAGGGTACTCGTAATTTTCAAATCCGAATCCAAATCCTGATTTTTTAATACCCGTGAATCCGGATCCAAATCCGGATAATAGAATTTTTAAAACCGGATACCCGCGGGTACCCGCGTATTATAATTATAAATAATTATATCTTATATTTATATAACATTTTTATAAAATACAATTATTTTAGATGAAATAATTTCATATTTTTTTAATATTAATTCAAAAAAATTAAATTTATTATTATTTGTCTCTTATT